GATGATCTCACGCCTCAGGTGCCGACTTCACCCTGAAGTCCGGGCCGACATTTCTGGGCCGATCTCGCCGGGCCCGGCCTAGCCGCTAACGCTAATAACCACGGTTCCCAAAATCACAAGCCGGGTTCGCCACCACCCTTGACCCGACCAAGCAGCCGCCGCCGCCGGCTTCACCATCGCGGAGCTACGCCTTCACGCCACAATGGGTCAACAACCGCAGTTGTCGCCGACTTCGAGAATCGTCACTTCAATCCGAATCCGCACCACAAACCCACAGCCCGGATCCGTCAAATTGCAGCCGCAGCAGACCACCTCCAAGCCACAACCCAACTTTGCCGGCGACGGCGTCGCAATCGACAGGTGCCGTCCTCAGACCAAACGTCGAACAAGCCCGGGTGCTGACTTGTTGAGCCACCGATTCCGTGGATGCCGACCCAACACCACAGCCCCGCCGCTAACTCCGCGGATGTCCGTCGTCGGGCACTGAGACCAGATCCAGATACCGAACCGCCCCCGTCACCGGAAAGCGGGTTGCACCCTCAGGCGCCGGACTCGCACACCGCTGCTAACCTCGATCTCTACCGCCGGCAATCACTCGGCGATTCGACTCTCGTATCCGGCCGATTTAAAAAAAAAAAAAAAAAAGTTTTACGAAGTCGGCGATTTGGGAGAAAACGATCAGATTTGGAATCAGCTATTTGGGAGAAGTCAGGCTTTATCGTGTTCTCAAATAGAAAAAAGTTATGTCTTCTCCTGGGCCTTAGTAGTGGAGATAGAGTTAATTTAGATTAGGGCCCTATCATAAATGAAATTAGAGTAAAATGAATTGGGCCCTAAAATGGTAATAAATAGAATAAGATAGAATTAGGCCCGGTTGAATAATTTTGTAATAGATATGATGAGATAGTATCGGGCCCCAAAATTTTTTGTAAATAAATAGAATAAGATAGAATTAGGCCCGGTTGAATAATTTTGTAATAGATATGATGAGATAGTATCGGGCCCCAAAATTTTTTGTAAATAGGTAGGATAGATGGAATCAGGCCGAGGCATACAGCAAAAATCTTGAAGTCGAGCTCGGCAAGGACTCGAATAATGAAGGCGAAAGAAGAGTCGACCTCCCCACATGGTAATCTTCGTAGGCCTACACTCTGCACCGACCCGAGGTAATCCTACTCACGATTTCGTTTTAAATACATATATATACATACATATATATATATATATATATAAATATATATATATATATATATATATATGTACACACTAATAGTAATAATAATAATCATATCATAATAATAATAATAAAGTAATATATACATATAGTCGTACTGCACAATATATATATATGTGTACTGCATGTGTATTATGCGTTTAATTAATAAGTAAATAATTATTACTAGTCTCATTAACTATATACATATAATAAATCACACATATAAACGTGTGTATAGATATATTGTGATAATAATCACATATGTACACATGTAACGCACAAATGCGTGTATATATATGTATATATATATGCATGAATAAAAATATATACCCTTCTATATATATATATACATGAATAAAAATATATGTCGAACCTCATTCGTGAAAGTTGAGTCGAGACGGGAAGGATCGAGGGAAGAAGGTCTGCTGCAAGCCTTCGGGATAGGCACGGCCGCTCCCCTAACACTTCTCAGTCTCAGAAGGTCACGAAGCCTTCGAGCCGTGACAACATTATTTCACCCGCCGGTGAGCCCTTGCTCCGACGAGGTTGATGTCATTATCCAGTCCGGCGACGAGCCCCTGCTCTGCCGGGCTGACGTCGTTACATCGCCCGTCGTAGAGCCCTTGCTCCGGTCGATGTCATTATCCAGTCCGGCGACGAGCCCCTGCTCTGCCGGGCTGACGTCGTTACATCGCCCGTCGTAGAGCCCTTGCTCCGGCGGATGTCATCATCCAGTCCGGCGACGAGCCCCTACTCTCCCTGGCTGACGTCGTTACATCGCCCGTCGTAGAGCCCTTGCTCCGGCCGATATCATCATCGCCGCACGTGACAGACGAAACGTGAGATACGCCAAATTCCAAGTCAAACCACTCTCATATCAAATCAACGACGTCCCCCCTACACGGGGCCTACCGACTTGAACACCTGGACGGCACGTGTCCATCAATACCCATAAAACTCGGCATTTCTGCAGAAGTCCTACCAATAGGTCTAGGCTGTCCTCACTCAATGAGTGACGTTATTATATAGATTATTCGATGAGCTAGGTCAAGAATGTAAGTTACCTTTTGCTTTTACAGGCTAGGTCGTCTTAGGCTTAGATCGAGTCGAAGCGGCGTAATTAACGTAAGGAACGAAGTGTTGGCTAGGATCAGCACGATGACCTAGTCGGCACTAGCCGGGCTCAACTAGGAAGCCCGGTCAGGCCAATAATACCACCGAGTCCGAACGCGAGACCGGCCAGGTAAGCTGCCACGTAATTATGTGCAGGTCGGGTCAGTACGATGGCCTGGCCGGCACGAGCCGGACTCGGCAAAGTAGCCCGGTAAGGCCAAAGTCGCCAACGTAAGAAATGAATAACGAGCTCAAACGCGAAGCTCAGCAAGGCCAGACCGTCGCCCGATTCAACGAGCAAGTCGGACAGGTAACGCGCCAAAGTAATTAATAAATGCCGAGCCCGATCACGAGGCTCGACCAAGTAATAAATTCACGCAGGTCGGGTTCAGTGCGATGGCCCGGCCGGCATAAGCCAGGCTCAATCACGTAGCCCGATTAGACCGAAATGCCGTAAAACTAAAGACTACGCGCCATAAGGCCGAAATGCCGTAAAACTAAAGGCTACGCGCCATGAGGCCGAAATGCCGTAAAACTAAAGGCCTACGAGCCATTAGGCCGAAATGCCGTAAAACTAAAGGCCTATGAGCCATTAGGCCGAAATGCCATAAAACTAAAGGCCTACGAGCCGTAAGGCCGAAGTGCCTGAAACTAAAAATCGAACTGCAAAAACAGTTCGACCCAACTAAACATGCGACATGATGCTCTCATTCATCATACATTCATGACATACATTCATAAGCAAACATTCATCATACATTCACGCATTCTCATATGATCGCATTATGCATACAATCTCGTAAGAAACAAAGAGTTCAAAGCTCAATCGAACAACAAGCTCTAAGCTCACTCATGTCGGCAATTCAAAATGCATTCCTGCATAAAAACGGGTATCAAGTTACCCGACCAGGCCGCAAAGGCCCATTCAATAGCAAATTCGCGAAATTGCCCATTATCTCAAACTGACTCAATACATCAAAGATCATAAGCATGATTATCATAAATACGTCAAGTCAACACCTAAAGTGATCAGCAAAACACGCAAGGGTCCCAAAGTGCCCAAAAATGACAAAGCAACGATCCAAGTAACCAAAGTTACTCGATAAAGATTAAATGAGTCCTCGAGACGCATAAAGTAAAAGCCGACAAGACAAATGTGATCTCTTGAGTCACGTGAAAGTTATCCGTCACGCGCATTTATCGGCATATTTGCGATTTCACCAATATCTCTCATTACACATATATCCTTCCACAATATAAAGAGCTCGAAGCTCAAAAGATCATGAGGCGAAAACAGTGCCAAATTGTAAAGAATAAACGCGACTTCAGAACAGTTCAATCAGAACATGTCCTAAACTCGGGGGCCTCCTGTTGATACCTAATTTGGCTCCAATTAAATAAATGATAAATTAAAGGATAAAATACGGTCTAATAATCGAGGAGCCGAAAATACGCGATAAATAATATACAAACACGTTCCCGAGACTGATCACCCAAAAACCGCATCTGGTCGACGCAATAATTGCATACAAGATAGGCGTCAATCAAAGCCGTCGCAAGTTATAGGCGGGTCCCCCAATTTTGACCCCGCATTAATGCTATTGTACTATTCTTTCTATTTTACCTACTTTGGCCCACATATATATATGTGGAGGATAGGAGAGAGAGGGGGATCCTTTTTTTATTTTCTCTTCCTACATAACACTAGAGAGGGAGAGTAGGGGTGGTTGGATGACTCTCTCCTCAAAACACCATTCTCATCGGTTTCGTTCTTCATTTTTTTCCATACATAGATTCAATTTGCATTTGACGGTTGATCGTCCGATTTTCGACATCAACATAGGGGTTGACTCAGACTTTGTTCTGGTTTTTGTGGTGTCATTTGACATCTCCTGTGTACTCTTTTTGAATTATTAATATAATTATGGTTTAAAAAAAAAAGTGATACGAGATATATAGTTGGGTACATTAAACCCTAAAAAATATGAGTATATATAAATTTTTTATAACTCGACCCATTCAGGATCGAGTAGGATTTTTAATATTGATAAATGAGTCAAATTCAAACTCATTTATTAACTTATTTAATTAACGAGCTCGGCTCGAATAAAGGATTGAGTTCAGGTTCAACTCAGTTAGCTGGTTTACACGTACTAAGGCTATGTTTGGTAAATCTAGCTCATAAGTTAGCTTATAACTTTTATATAAATTTCGAGCTTATAACTGATAGCTTATGACTTATGGCTGAAAAAGTTAGCTTATATAATAAAATTGTTTAATAAATTAGCTAATAAGCTAGCTGAAATAAAAATTTAATGAGCTTAACTATTCAAAGAAGCTTATGAGATCAACTCGAACTTTTTAAAAAATTTCGTCCTACCAAACCAAACTTATTTGAATACATGAAGTTTATAAGCTAGCTTATCTTTTTACCAACACAAATTAAGATTGTTTGATAAATCTAGTTGACAAGCTAGTTTATAGCTTTTAAGTGAATTTTGAGCTTACAGTTGATATCTTATGACTTATAACGAAAAATTAGTTTATATAATTAAATTGTTTAATAAAATTAACTGATAAACTAGCTGAAAATTTAATGAATTTATTAAAAAAAAACTTATGAGCTTAGTTCTTAAAAAAGTCCGTCTTACGAAAACCTATGCGCGGCCCATCAGGTTGTTTTAATTTTTATTTTTATTTTTATCTTCGTCATGTTTGATAACCCTCAACTTTCGATGCTTTAATCGAGTTCATTTTATTCAATAGGGTTCTGACTTCTGCAAAGTATTTCATCTCTGTATCACTATGAACTATGAAGGTTGAATAACAAATTTCATCAGTATCGCGGCAGCCCCCTACAGATTTTGGGTGTTCATCTCTGCCTGTGAACCCAGCCAGGATTCATGGATTTCCAAGCCGTCGTATTAGCAGGCGGCTTCTCGAAAACACTTGTCCCTCTCGTGTCCAAGGTATTTAGCGACCTGCTAAGATCAATTTTCCGTAGATGTATCGAAATTGATATCTTGCTTCCAAATAATGCCCGCAGGAGGTGCCGAAAGCGCTTCTTCCCCTGGCCAATCGGCCGGCTCTTTCGTATGTTTTGGAGCTTCTAGAGAAAAACGACCTAAAAAATGCAATTGTTGTGAGTTTCTTTTCGCTTGGGTTCCTTTTACGATTGTTTATTGTGTTGGAGGACAGGAAATTGAAGATGGTGTTATTGCTGGTGTAGGTCGTTGAAGGGGAAACCGCAGCCCTTTTGATAAGTGCTTGGATTTCGAGCACGTTATTTGATCGATTAAATGTCGAAGTGAGTTCCTAATTGATGTTGTTATTGTTAACTTTATTCATCTCTGTTTTAAATCACAGAAATAATTTGACTCGGTTTTAATAGAAAGTATTTGTCTGATTGACTGAAGAGTGAGATTGGAGTCTGATAGTTATTCTAAAAACTGATTCTAGCACTGGAAGAAAGTTTTTATTTATATCATATCCAGTAACTCATGTTAGGGTGAGAACTATTGTTGAGCTAGGAATGACATGTCTGCTCTCTTTTAGAGATCTTATAACCATTATAGGTTGATTTTGACCATTATATGCTATTGAAGGTGGGCAAAATGCTAACATTGTATATAATAGTTCTTGGAGGCATGCTAGAGATTGAACCAACTGATTAGATGTGTCCTATGTAGGCATTCGATCAAGTAATTCTTGGATGAAATATAAATCTTTCAAGAAATGAGGTCATATTTCCTTACTACAAGAATAAAAAGGTGTCGACTAAACAAGCACTTCTAGTAGGAGGTTTTGGAATTCTACATTTAGGTACTCCCGTCCCTCATAATGAGTTTTCATCTAGTAACCTACAGTTTGGTAGGACTTGCGATTGCATGCCACCTTCACTATGTGGTTAATTATCTGATTGAAGGAACCCATGTCCTGAATAACCCAGGAAATCAAATTTCTTGAAGTACATTATATAAGATGTGCTTGAAATTCTGGGCAGGGTAGGCCGTAGGCGTACATATAATGGAGTTGCTACCAAGGTACTTAGGTAATAATGGGCCTTTGTATATTTTGACCATTGAATTGACCAATTATATTAGGGTGCCTTAGGAACTGCATGTTCAGTGCTTTATACCAACTTAGGGAAGTCTATGTTCATTCACATGTATGGCAATAATAAGTTATTTTCTCACCAGTGCTCTATTTTGAGCTGAGAATCAACTTAATCTAGTAAGATGATTCTTCCTGCCCCTCTTGCCGACTATCTGTAAATGTTTGTGCTTATTGTCCAATAACAGATATTATCACCCTAGTGATGATTCTCTTGGTAATATAGAGGGATTGAGACAGTGTCAGTTGATTTCAGAAAGACAAACCAGGAACTGTTTTTTGTGTTGTTTTGGTGGATTTTCTGTATTACTGTCCGTAGAGGTATTTGATATTATATTATATTGATATACATCATGTTTAATTGCAATGTTTGAAACCATTTTTCTGGCTTACTCAAGTTTGACTTTCATTTTCTAATAGCAGAGTTTTCATGGTCAAACTGAAATCTCGATATCTATATCTTCTGTAGGTGGCTGCAGTTCCTGAGGATGTTGGCACAGCTGGTGCGATTCGAGCTATTGATCATCGCCTGACTGCAAAGGACATCTTGGTTTGAATCTTCTCTAGCGCGATTAATTTTTTTCAGCTTCTAACAGTGCAGTACTAATGCAATAACTAAGATTTGTTGTTTAGGTTGTGACTGGCGATCTGATCAGTGAAATTCCACCTGGGGCAGTGGCAGCTGCTCATAGACGACATGATGCTGCAGTTACTGCTATGCTTTGTTCTGTGCCGGCTAGTGGACCATCAGATTCAGGCTCATCCAGTGCGAAGGACAAAACAAAAAAATCAGGATACTATAATATAGTAGGCCTGGATCCAACTAAACAATTTCTGTTGCACATAGCATCTGGTTGGATGATAGAGACTGGAGCTTTATTTATATGATGTTTAATTTATAGTTTTGTTGTTACTGAATATCTTTTGAACTTGTATCAGGAGCAGATGTGGAGAAAAGTATTCGAGTACAGAAAAGCATACTAAGAGCTGTTGGCCAGGTAACTTATTGGTCACCTATTTGTTCAACTGCATTGAGTGCCAAAAGGGCTCTGTATCTATTCGCCCCTTTATTCTTATCATTTGACATGGAAAAACTCATTATAGTATTCTAGGAGATGGTGAAGTGGGTAGCAAGTACGTTTGACACGTTGCACCTGTTTGTTTATTCAACTTGGGAAATGGGGTTGAAATGATGTTGGATGTTCTGATTTCGGCTAAATCTGACAAAAAAGTCTTACGACTTTTCAATTTGATTTTTTTTTTTGAAATTTTTGTATTATGTGCGAGTGCCGAGGTTCAGAAAAAATACTTGTACTTGAAGGCTATCCTCGTTGCATTGAGTCATTGACAACTAAGCAGCTAAAATATGTTGGAAAAGATTTATAATTTTGAATTTGCTATTGCTGACATTCTCTGTTTGTTCATGCTATCTTTCTGGCCACCTTGCCTATGCAGATGGAAATGCGCACTGATCTTATGGATGCTCACGTGTACGCTTTTAAGAGGTTAGAGATTTTTCTCAACTGTTCAAAATGTAGATGCATTTTTTTTTTTTTCTCTTGCAACCAACTTACCTCTATATTTAAGCATTGGCCGGTATTTACAGATCTGTTCTGCAAGATGTCCTGAATCAAAAAGAAACCTTTCATAGTTTGAGGCGTGATGTACTGCCCTATCTTGTTCGGAGTCAGCTGGTTAGTTTTTGTACCATAGTAATTTGTTATGGCAAGAATCTAAGTACTAGCAATTTATTTCAAGTTCTAAATTACATTTTCTTGTGGACCTATTAGAGATCAGAAATATCGTCTAATGGAGTGCAGTCAGAAGAAAATGGCAATGTTGACGATGTTTTCCAGAACAGTAAAATTTTGCTATCTCAGCTTCTGGCCAATGCATCTACACCAAGTTTTCATGAAATCAATGCGCTTGGTCCGGCTGGCTCTGCTCCCACATTAAAGAAAACTCATAAATGTTGTGTTTATATTGCTCATAAGGGCAAGTATTGTGCGAGGTTAAATTCCATTCAAGCATTCAGCGACATAAATCGAGATGTAAGTTTCTTGTAGTTGTTCGTGATCAACACTGTTTTCCTTGAAAATGAGTTATTTAACTTCGAGTTCTGTGATGTATTGTTGCAGTTAGTAGGAGATGCGAATCACCTGTCGGGCTATACTTTTTCATCCCACAGCAACATAATTCATCCCTCAGCTGTACTTGGATCTAAAACTACTGTGAGTTAAAAATTTCATGAGCTTCATCTTGCTTTTGAATATAAGAATTAAGTCATGTAACACGTCCAGTACCAAATAAATTCGACAAGATGTTACTGTCTTGCACTGATGCGCGATGATAATCTGATGCAGGTGGGTCCACAATGCATGCTGGGAGAAGGTTCGGAAATGGGTGACAAATGCAGTGTGAAGAAGTCCATCATTGGCCGTCATTGTCGAATTGGCTCAAATGTGAAGGTATTGACGAGATTTTGTCATACTTATGACATCTTCCTGCATGAGAACAGAAGTGCAAAGCAGAGCAATAAAAAAAACAAAGTACAGCCATATAAAATTTTTTTTGCTCTACAAGTTTACGGCCCCATTATGACATTACACCACGTGAAGCACACGCCGTAATTGTAATGTAAAAGTAATTTTCGTAGCTCGAAATCTCGAATAATTACTGAAATCTTGTATATCAAGTTATCAACAATCCAAAAAATAAAAATAAAATTTGAGCACAGCCACTGAATTTATACTGTTTTTGTGCAGATTGTTAATTCAGTTGTCATGAATTACGTCACCATTGGCGATGGTTGTTCGATCCAAGGTTCCATTATTTGCAGTAATGTGCTGCTCCAAGAACGTGCCGTGTTGAAGGACTGTCAGGTACTTTCTTTTTGTTGGTGCATCTTTGTAGCGCGTGTATTACTCTTTCATAATCGTGTGTTTGTGCTGATTTAGGTTGGAGCAGGTTTTGTAGTCGTTGCTGGAAGTGAGCAAAGGGGTGAATCATTGGCCAAGAAAGAAAGACAGTAATGAGTATTTTCACTTGCGTTTCACTTGCTCCCATATACTGTTGAGTGTCGAGGGTTAAGTGAGCACCAATTTTGTTTGGCGTTTCGTGATTAGTAGATGTTGCGGCTATGTGCCGACTCTAATTGTTCAACGCATAGTTTTTATACCCTTCCGAATGACAGGTTATTTGGTGCTCAATTTTCGAGCTAGTAGGATCTTGGATTTCTGTACATTTTAGTCGAGAAGATATAGATTTTATTTGTTTTGAGTCGAAAAACATGGAGGTTGGTCACATCAGTAATTGAGATTTTTCACTGGATTTTCTATTTTCTTGTGAGGAAAAACTCAAAAAGATCATTATTGAAAAAGTTACGCAACACGAACATAAATTTTGACAATAATGCACATGATATGATTTTTGTTTTATACACTATTCACTTTTTGATTTTGACAATAATGCACATGATAATTTTCTTGTTTTATATGCCAAATTTTACATGTTGCAGAAAATGAAACATTTTTCTCGTTGTTGAATTTGCTTTTCTTTTGCTAATTTTAATGAATTCGTTTGGTAAAGATTTAGGAGAAATATCTTTCTACCTCTGAAAGTATGATATTTTTTAAATTTGTCATATAATGTTAAAGTTAACAAGTAGTCTTTGATAGTATACAAAATTGATAATTTGCCACCTACATTAAAAATTCTGAAATGCATTAGAAAGTTTGTAATCGATGAGACAAACAAATTGAGATATAATGTATCAATGTTCTATAATTGATTTGTTGGTAATCAATAGAAAGTAGGAGGATTCATGCGTACATGAAAAAATTTCATTTCGAGTTTTTTGATGATTAAGATGTTCGATTTTCTACCGGGGGTGTCACTGAAAAGCTTATATGATAAGTTTTCTATCGGCAAATTTTATGAAAATTCGACTTTTACAATGCATCTTCAATTAAGTTAGAAATATTTAATATCATATAAGGATCTTTATGGTAGGAGATAAGTATTTAAATTCGTGTACTTTGAGAAGTAATGTATCAACTTTAAAATTTTATATGACAAACTTAAAAAAAAACATTTATATAGTTAAGAAAATACTCTAAAAAAACATATATACCATAACTAAGAGCTACTCCAGCGTTGCGCGCCACATTGGACTTTTCCGTTGGATTTGAGTGAGTTTTCATCCCCGACATTGCGCCACAATTGTGCATCAAGATGGAAATGTGTATGGTATATCTCCACATGTGTCCATCTCATAAATTGTTTTATTTATTTATTTTTTTTATAATGCTTTTTAAATTGATGATTTAATTATAGGTTTATTTTAATTTAATAAAACAAAATAAATTGCTTCCATTAAAATTAAAAAGTACCACAGAATCCTTTAGGGCGTGATTGTATATAATTTGTACAGTAAATATCCCACTCAAAATTCAAATTTAACTCAACTTTAACTCAACTCCACTATCTCCAATATTATCAATATAATTAAATAATATCAACCAATCATTATTACACATCACATCAACTTTAATTCACTGTTCACCCACTCACATAATTTTAACTAACTATCACTTCCAATCATTTTCTCCTACTTTTACATCAAATCAATTTTAATTATTCGAATTTAAATATTATTTTAATATATCCACTAACAACTAACCATACTACTTTTTTTCAAATTTAACTATAGTTAAAAAAAAAACTAGTTTTTTACTAGTTGAATTCATATCCAATCGCCCCCTTAGTTTGTTATCGTGGATTGACACTCGACTTCAATTTAATCTAAATTTTTTATTTTCTTTTTATCGATGGATGTGATTCTTGTGGTTGAATTGATTCTTGGTGTTGATTGCAATACGACAAGCTAAATTCGTTCGGTGGAGATAGGGGATGATTGTTCATGTTCTAGTGATTATCATATTTTTGTGAATTGTTCATTCTATGCGAGTAGTGTTATTCTTAGGGTTAGTTGATTGATTAACTTGTAATCCAATTAAACAACTTTTAAAATTAAAAGAGGAGGAGTTGTTCGACCTAGGCTCGTATAGATAGGCTTGTTCGTAACTGTGATGCCTACATGTTGTTTGATTTTGATAATTTCCTCTTATGTATATCCTCTTGTTATGAAAACTTATTGACGTTAAATCTCACGATGTATATGTTAGTAGAATCATTTAACCGAACTATCAATTGTATGGTGTTTAAGTTTGGAACTATTATTCCCGACTACTTAGTCTCTTTATCACTATCTGAAACTTGTTTAAAAGTTGAGAATTGAGTAATTGCAATTTTCATAGAATCTTTGGTTGTTAATAAAAATCAAACCAATCTGAATTTGAGTGTTTAGGCTTTAATTTCTCTTTTTGTGTTTGAATATCGTGTGAAATAATCTGGTTGGCCTTCCTTGAAATACTACTTGGGAATTAATTTATTCAAATTAAAAATAACTATAACACCTTACTCGAGGAATTACCACTATGTTCAACTCTTGTCCAAACTATTCGTAATCTAAGTAGTCCAAAGTAAAATTACTTTGCAATGAAACAAGGAGAATGTATGCAGAAAGGATGTAAAGCGTGCATTTGGATTACTCCAAGGATGATTTGTAATTGTAGCTAATCTTGTTCGATTTGGAGCAAAATTGACTTAAATGATATGTTTGTCCCATTTTTGTTGCGTTTTTTCTTCTTATTTTTCATTTCTTTTTCCCCCGTTTTAGGCCTTTTCATTAGTATTTATTCGATCTTATAGTTTATTGTGCGTCTTGTTTTATTTTGGTTTATCTATTTGTTTCTCGGGTATTCTTTCGGTTTTTCTCGTCTTTGGTGTGCAGGATGGAAAGCTCGGGAGGATCTATTTTTCATGATAATGGGACCGGAAGAACTTAAGTGAGTAGAGCGTTTCGTTGGCAACACACAAAAGAAAACAGAATTGAATTTTGAGTCGAAACGAGTTCGAACGAACACGAGACGTGAAGTAATGCATTCATTGCTGAGCTCCAAGACCGTCGCGCCAGCCATCACGCCGTGGAACCTGCCACGGGCCTTCTGGGACGTGTTTTTCCTACACCACGCCGCGGCTTCGCACCTCCACCACGCCGCGACAAATTTCATTCCTCCACGCCGCGCCATCTACCACGAGCGGACATAGCCTCCTAGCGAATCCAGCCATCACGCCGCGAGGGCCAGCCACGGCGCGGCACCAGCATCCTTCACGGCGCGCCAGATCTTCACGGCGCGGTACTCGCGCCCAGCAATGTCTCATTCACGGTGCGACCTCCAGCCACGGCGCAACACCTGCAGCCTTCGCGGCGTGTCACTTCCAGCCACGGCGCGGCATGCTTCCCCTATAAATATGCTACGGGACTCGTCAGACGAGGGGATCTCTCATTATCCCTCATTCGACGAAGACAGAAACCCTACCCTTCGTCCCTTTCACTCGTTTTTCATCACTTTCTTCATATTTTTCATTGTTGAACACGGATTTGCACTCGGATTTTGCTACTGCTTTCAGACTAATCTTGTTTATCGGATTCAACGTTCAATTACCATATTTCGTAAGTTTTTCTATACATCTCATCCATGGATATGTTGACTTTGATTATGGTGATTTGTGTTGATATTTCAAATATGAGTGGCTAAATCTTTATGCTAGGGATAGGGGTTGATGTTTTGGAATCGTTTGTGATTGTCGGGCTCAAGATTGTTCAATTTGTGCGAGTTAATCTTTTATTAGGGTTTTTCAACTGACAAGCTTGAATATTGATAATTGTTGAAGGGTGACACTTCAGCTTACAATTGTTTCAATTGAATTAGATTTATTCGTGCTTGAAATTGGGAATCTATTCGATTAGTCGGTTAACCACCCTCTAGTCTACTTTAATCGACTCTTAGAACCGAAAGGGGAGGAGTCGGTCGAAATAAGCTCGTATGAACTAGGCTTGTTCGTAACTGTATTGCCTAGAAGTTAAATGAATTGTTAATTTGCCGTTCTAGTTTGTTCTCTTGTTACGAAAAGTTATTGAGAATGAGTGCTTGGACGTGTCGATTAGTCAAATCACTTAGCTGAACAATCACTTGCCCATTAATTGCAATTCGAACCAAAACGGATCTCCCGACTCCCTAGCTACTCAAATCCTAATTGTTCTTCGTTACTTGCTTTCTTTATTGCTTAATTTGAATTTTCGCAGTAGTTGATAATTAAACCAAACCATCTAAGTTAGAATGTTTAGGAAATTTTATTTCTTTCATTAGTGCTTGAATAAATGTGCATAATAATCCGGCGAACCTTCCTCGAGAGACACGACCCGGTGTTCGAATCTTTCGATTCTATTCCGGAAATATATTTACAACAAATTGGCGCCGTTGCCGGGGAAGGTCTAGGACATATTTTGTGCGCTTATTCATCTTATTTTTGTGTTTCTTTTTGGTTCTGTGTTTTTCTTGTTTTCTTTGTTTCTTTTTCTTATTTTATTTTCTTTTCTTTACCATTGGTGCTCGTAACCCGTTATTTGTTTGAGTGTGTGCGTACCAGGAGTGGACGTAAACTCTCTCCAATCAACAAACCCTTCAATGAGAGCCTGAGAGAACTGCTAGACGAGCTTACTCTCGAATCAAACGAAGAAGGCGAGCACCGACCAGAATCATCTGAGGGGAGTAACTCAGACATGGCTGATCAACAACCGCCTCGCAATATCCTTCGGAACCTGGCCCAACCCATGATCGGGCCAATCACTTCCTGTATCCGACTGGAGCAAGACGCCCGAAACTATGAGCTGAAGATGGTCCACTACAATCAGCTCCCATCATTCCACGGGCTCCCCAACGGAGACCCGCTCCACTTTCTTCGGGAATTTTACAACGTCCTCCAGACGTTCCCTTTGCATGGGCTAACCGAAGACCAGCTCAAAATGCGGTGTTTCCTAGAAACGCCAAAGGACCGGGCCAAGGCTTGGTTCATGACCCTCGCCCCGGATTCTCTATCAACTTGGGCCGAAGTCTACGCTAAATTCGTTGGGAAGTACTATTCCCATCAGAAGACCCAAGATATTCGGTCTCAGATAGTCTCCTTCGCTCAGCTGCCAAACGAGCCTCTTCATGAGGCTTGGGAACGTTTCAAGGATCTACAGAGGCAGTGCCCCCACCATAACCTCTCTCCTGGACTATTAGCGAACTGCTTCTATGACTCCCTCCATCAGAACTTGCAGTACATGGTGGATACTGCAGCCG